GTGTTCCCCAAGTCGCTTTGTGTTTAGGTCCTTATACAGTATGTGCCATGTGTGTGACAGTAACAGTCAAGTAGTGTCACAGTCTCATTGCCCTCGACTTTACAATAGTTCTGTTGAGAAACTCGAATGTGGGCCTTGCTCATTCTGTGACCTCTGTACTGATCCGCTGGAGGGGCAGGTCAGCGTTTCACTGCTGGCAACAGCCGAGCATCCTGCACAAGGATTCTGCAGCCGGGCAGATGCTGCTGTCATAGAACCTGAACCCTGAGCTTCTGTTTGAAGGTCTGTCTCTTAATGTGGCCATCCCACTGAAAAAAACTGCTTCAGTGATTCCTCCGACCAGAAGGCATTTGTTAGAGCAGGAGGCAGTGACAGCACTGAGCTGTTGTCCAACAAGCTCCCGGCTAACTAGCGGTTCTATATTTTGTCTTTCAGACTGCACTTAGCAACAAAAATGCAGGTTTATTAGCAGCTGACTTTGTTGTTGTTAATGCTGGAGCTGTCTCGTGAATGCAGCAGGTTATTAGTGGCTAAAAGCTGCCAACTGTTTTTTGGCAGAAATACCAGACTTGGATCCCACACACAAAGTTATCAGTTGATCATGTGGCCAGGCACAATCTGCCCACAAACATCCAGTCCACGCTGAACTTTGAAGGTACCCAACTACCACAGTGACAAACACACAGGAGGAAACAGCTTCACAGACTGCAACTCTGGTCTTCTTCAGCTGTTTATGCTTGTGTTGAAACGGCTCAGTATCAAACTAGCCAACACCAAATAAGGCCTGTTATCAAGAACAGGACCTGACTCCAGAAATATTCAGTATCCACCTGTAGATTTGGTCACTTGAGTTTAGAATCCACACACGGGATAAACCGGTGTTTAATCTGGAGATTAGACAGATTCCGTCCATTAAAGCCAGGATCAGACACAAGACATTAAATTAATGGGGGAAACTTGTACTGTATGGTACATACCAGTCCCCACCACAGAGCATCAGCATAGGTGTCAAAATCCTGCGGTTCGGTCCGAGCTGTGGGGTTTTCATGGTTGGACGTGTTCACGGAGACGTCGTCCTTCTCCACCAGGTAGACCAGGAAGGACGCCAGGATGAGAGACAGGAAGCCAATGTACCACGCTGTGATCAGTTCCTGCAGAAATGCACAGAAAGCATAAGCTGAAACAGACTAATTTAGTTCCACTGACACGGAACAGCCTCACACAGGTTTCACATGTTGCATGGACATCAACATGTTTTCCACATGTGCTGTTTTTCCCCATATCATAGGTCTCTGAAACACCTTCATATGTAAAGGTGTCTTTTTCTGGGAACATGAAGCAGTTTTCTCTAGTTTCATCCATGGACAATGTAGCTGCTGGCAGCAGTAGAAACTCTAGCTATATTTTAAAAATCATATTTTAAATCCATTATGCTCCTCCTCTCCCTGCAGCTGTACCTGCACTTTTTAAACGATGCATCTGGGCTCCCAGCAATGACACAACGTGTATTTTGTAGTTGGTCAAAGGCAGTAGTACTAAGGCGCATCAGGTCCTACCTTGCTGTGGGCATAGATGGCAGAGCCCAGCAGTTTCCAGGTCCCTCCTCTCCGGTCCATGCGCAGCATCCGCAGAATCTGCAGGAAGCGCAGGCTGCGCAGGGACGTGGCCAACACGTTACCCTGGTTCCGCACCGCCACCACCGGCACCGAGGCAATCAACACAAAGATGTCTGAGACAGAAAAGATCCTCTGTGAGGTTTTACTCCAAACCTCAGTGTCTTGGGTCAGACTCAAGAAATGTTCTTTGTGAGATGAGGAATAACTTGTAGAATTAGCTCCTAACACACACTGAACAGAAGAGATGGTAATGAAATGCAGTTAAAAAGATTTGGCTGGCAGCAGCCAAGTGGATGTTTTCATTCAAACTTACCTTCACACATTCCCTCTAGCTGTGTTACACATGTTCATAATGCAGCCAGATCATAGTGATGCTCTGGTTAGGGCTGGTTTCCAAACATACCACATACAGACAGTGACAGATGAGAGGAAACCCCTGACTGAGTTGAAATCCAAACAGCAGGGGTCACTGATTCACCAGCTGATCATTGTCTTGATGATCTGATTGATCTTTTTACTCCGAGAATGTCAAACACTGTAGAAACCACATGTTTGGTCCTCACATGCTCATCACTGTCCCAGTGTACTGCCGACACAGCTCGACAAAGGTGACAAGTGACTCTTTTCAACACTAACGAGGTCACTGGTTTGTGTGGAACAGACTGTACCGAGTATAAACACGGCATAATGTCAACACATGTATATCAGAATACTACACTCCCCATATGCATGACAGTGACCATACTGGACAGGATCTGCGGGGACTGGAAACTTTAACTGTGGCCTTCATGCTCACGTGATTACACCTCCTCACCTAAAATGCACAGGGGCTTGCGAGCGAACTTCAGCCTCCCCCTCCATCCTTTGTAGCGACAGCAGCATCCTGCTGCCCAGATCCTCAGTGCAAACTCTGCTCCGAAGATGAAGATGGCGAAGGTTTCCTGCACGGGCAAATCAAAAAGCTGATTTTAATTATAACCATTATACATGCCATGTCACATTTACCTCGTTGTCCTTAATGCACATATAACAAGTGGAAAATTCTCCACATGAGAATGTTGCTCCACACAATTGTAGAGAAACAGAAAACAATTTATATTTATCATTTCAAATAGATGCCAAACCCTAAACAAGATGCTTCAGTTAACCAGTGCAAGAGAACCTAAAGCACAAAGTACATGCAGCAGAAAAAGTAGATTTTTAAAAATGTTTTTCTTTGACCTCTTCAGCCCCTTCTTATTATTCACTACACACAGTTGACCACTGTCCAAATGCTCAGAAATTAATTTTAAATTCCAGTAGAAACCCCAAAGATTTCAAAGATACCAAATATGTTGGGCACAGGTTTGGAGGAATGTGTACGAAATGACTGCCAAGACATGTAAAAGTAGTTGAATTTTGTGTAATGGTGCAGCCATAAAAACACGGAGCCACTCAGTGTAAACATCACCTCAGACTCTGGAATAAGGTGGATTTAATGGAAATCCAGGGGAAAACTAGATGCTAAGCGGTTAAAGCTCTTTACAAGGCAACAAAAAGAGACAGTTCAACACAAAACGAACATCCACCAGTATGTGATCTCACCAGTATGACCAGCCAGTGTGCAGACACCTTCTCGTGTTCCTTGAATGTCGTCAGTATGGCCAGGATCAAACAGCCCAGAACGATCAAAAACCTGCAGAGACACACAGCAGCAAACACATCAGAACACACAGCAGCAGAGGACACACACACATTCAAATTCAGACAACTTTATTGTCCAGCTTTGTTGGCATAAGGGTAGAAGTGTCTCTTCGGCTTGCATAACACACAGTTCCATCACAGCCAACACTATCAGAAGTTAAAAATCGGGGGGTTGGGGTCAGGGACAGGCCAATCAGACGGATCGCCTCCACACTTCATGAAGGACGAGGCAGTCAGACAACAGCTCTGCATGCTAACACGAATATGAGAGAAAGTACAAGTGTGCATGAGGATTAATAACTAAAGCAGGTCACTGAACACATTCCAATCTGTGTAGTTTGCCTCCCACCACCCTCTATAAGGCAGTGACTCAACCTCACCACTAGAGAGAGACACATCTCTGCGCTTAACTTCCAACAAGACAACAACAAGCTGCAGCAGGACAAGCACAGTCATGTTTGGCCTCTGCTCTGAGGAAACCTGCATTACTCTTCATCTCCTTTGGCACATATAACTCAAAGTAAAGGCACTTTGTCCCGACACTGTAAACGCCACTTCTGATCAGATGTTTTGTATATCTGTATAACCAACTGGAGGCATAATCCAGGCACGATATACACACTACTCAGCTATACAACAGTGATGCCATATGGAATTCCAGTTGTTATAAAGGAAACTAAAATGATTTTGTGTAGGCTTACACAGGAATTTTAAGTTCCCATTGTTGTTTGTTTCTTAATTGTGTTCTGACACCACCCCGGAGCCCTGGGACTCGGCTAACGACTTGTGCTGCTTGTGAAGTGGCTGGAGATGAAAGGTGAAATACAGGGGGGCAGACCTGCATAACATTTTCATTATTGTTTTGTTAATCAGCAAGTTGTGGCTGAGACAAACCGCACTTGCTGGTCGGGTGGAGTCAGAGAAATCTTCATTCTAGCAGACCTGTTGTCAGGAGGGTTCGCAGCAATCTGTAGTCTGTGTACATATAAAAACAGTGGACCACCGACTGCTCTGCCCTTTAGCCGCCTTCTTGAAGCCTCCACCCTTTTCTCACTGAGTCCTAAATCATTCATGGCCTGTTGTGTGGCCATTAGTGTTGACATTTCACAGAAGTTTCTGAAGTGCACAACTATAGCAACATGAATATTTCACATCCAAATGGTTTGGACAGTTGGACGTAGCTCATCTGTTTTAACAAGTAACCAGATTTCCTGTTCCCTAAATTAAATCGGAGCATTTCTCCTGAAAGTTATCCAGAGGACAGAGACGATCCTGGAGTGAGCGGAGGAGGTTGACGTTAACTCAACATGATCCAGCAGATACCGCTCTGCAAGTCGGCTTCCTGTAGTTTGTTCTGTGAAGCACACAGAGTGAAATGCTTTGGACACATCCAAGAGGAGCAGGAAGGAAATCAAAGTGTGAATCTGGATCTTTAACAATTAAGATGTGAGGCTCAAGTTGCACGCACACAGCTTTAATGAACTTTTTTCCAGGAATTTAGCTTCTAGGTTAAATACAAAGATTGAAATGGAGAAATGAATATAAACCCTGGAACACAAACCAGAGTCAGTCTGGGTTATGTCCCTGGTAGTTTTCTAAGCAAACTCAACACAGCTACACAAACAGCGTTTTCAGGTGTCTTGTCGAGGTCCAGTCTCAAGTCAGTGCCTCGGGTAAAGTTTCAAGTACGTGCAGGAAATCCAAGACAAATTCTTCAAAGTCTTCATAAGCAAACCCGTCTCTGAATCTCGACATATGTCAGTAGAGCTGTTAGACCAAATATGATTAAACATATAAGGTGTGAGGCTCCACACGAGGCGGTACATGAGGTCTGTGCGATGGTGTCCTTTTGTGTTTTTATTGGCCAAAAATATTTATATATACAAATATCTGAGCTGATAAATGCTCCGCGGCAGCCACCAGCTAGTCTCTGACAGTGTCTGTGCTCTGTTTCTCTGCAAACAGCTGAAAAGGACTGTATGTGAACAGTGAGAGTGAACCACAACAGGAAAGCTGTGGTTTCATACACTCCTACTGTAAAATATTGTTGAAAACCATTTTCACTTGGTGTTTTTATCTGCAATCTATCAAAGGTCATGTGTCAGGAGTGGCAAGCGCCCACCTGTAGTGCACCCTCTCTCTCTGGACTGAAAGCTTCTCTCGCTCTTCTTTAATCCACGTTCCCTTCGTCGGCCCAGGGGAGGCCAAGCCCTGAGACTCCCCAGGTCAGACAGCACCCCTGAGGATTCCTAACAACCAATTTGCCTGTGAGATTCAATGAAGAGAGCGCAGATGATGCAACTCTGACAGTTAATTTGCTTGGCGATATGCAAACACCGGTGGGAAAGAACAGCAACTGTTAATGAGCACAGTCCCAAGGATGGGATGAGTGATCTTTTCTCTGCCAAGGATTTGAGGAGAGGTTCATAAGCAACTTAACGCTGCGATGACAATCACAAGAAAATAGAGTTGATCAGGCCTGAACGCTCACTACAGTCTGACAGTAGCAGTTCTCTTATTGACTGGCATGTCTCAGAGAATTTTATGAGCCGGAATAAACACAGTGTCTGCAACTTGGCCTCAAGGAAAAATCTGATTTACAGCATGTGAAAGTCAAATAAAAAGCTTGTTCCACAAAGAGATCAAATCCTATAATCCAGCTTCTGTCGGGCTCCTCACTAAATGCAGCAGCACAGCTTCACTTTAACCTGAACTGATTTATCTGATGACCTCAAACACACACACACATAGAAGCAGGGCCAGGTGACGGTGGATTATATTCCACTGTTATATCAGACGTCAACGATGGAAAAGGCTAAAGCATCAGTGTGCCAGTTTCTATCTCCCAGGCCCTGACAGGCCTGATTTACTGTTGCCAGGCAGCTTTCCACTTATTGCAAAAGGTGAGGGAATGAAGTGGTAAACTGGGTCTAAATGGATGGACTCAACACACAGGTCTCCTGAGGGTTGTTATTTTCTTTCCATCGGCGTGACAGATTACAAGGCAGAATATGCCAGCACGTTTTGTTGATACTACTTCGGAGAAAACAACATGCTACTTTCTGCTGCACAGCACAATCCTGGGTGAAACATTCATTACAGGTCAGCTAGCAGACTGAGCAACTTCTCACACTGTGTTCAGGTGAATAACTGTCAACCCGGGCAGGAAGTCAGCCCTGCGGGTGTTTGACAGTGAGGAGCCCATACTGAGAGCGATGGACGTCTCCTCCAGCAGCTGCCTCGCCCTCCTCCTCCTCAGTGAGAGGACGACACTGAGGAGGTGACTGGGATTTGCTAATTATGCAGAACAGCAGAGCCCTGGATGTGTGTGTGTGCGACAGCTTCATCGACATACAAACATGCTGAAGTGGAGTCCTGCTGCTGAGCTGCACATCACAACCACTCTGATTACAGTGTCTGTTTTTATTTTATTACACGAGCCTCTATTTAAAGATGTATGTTTACCTACTGTATAAAATAAATACATCAGATCACAACAAGCTGTCTGTCAGTCCTTCTAACAGACCCCGGAGAGCTGCATCACTTCCCTGCCCCACCGGCTCCACTGATTGGTTTGCATATGACCGTCTAGTCACAGACCCCAGTGAGGATGAGAAGGGTCTTTACTGTTTAAACAACACATTCACTTCCTTCTCCAAATGCTGGGAAACACAAACCCTCCAAGTTATGACACCAAACATCACTGAAGATGTCAGCATTTGTTTTGCCAACAAAAACACACCAATGACCAGCTGGTTGCTCCTGATGACGAGTCAGATGGGTGCATTCTTTGCACACAATGAACACCTGAACCTAGTTTCAGATATTCCACTTTAGACCAAACTGACATGGCCACATAGTCTGTAGAGCCCGAAATGGAGCAGAAGTCACACTAAACACCATTTTACTTTGCAGTATTACAGATCTGAAATATACTGTATATAGTACTTGGTATATTATGTAATACAGAATGATATCGTGTTATGCAAATGCTGGTTTTTAGCTTCCCTCCATTATAAGTTTATGCATCGAGCTTTTTGACTTAATGAAACTACTGACTGTTCTTATTAACTGCTGATTGTTAACAGCCACAAACTAAACTGCCACTGTAGAGACATGAACATTTCCTCTGTACATGACAGTTCATGTCAAAGTATGTGCAACAAGGCCAGGAGAGTGTAAACAGACAGCTCAACTTTTCTGATCGGCTCCCTTTGTGGGACTGCTCCCTCCCTGACTGATGTTGGAGGACAGGTAATTAGTTGAACTAATCTGATTCATTAGAGACAATTACACAACATTTGTTAATTGGGCACCACAGCATCGGAGAGTTTCCTCAAGGAACTGCAGAGTAAATAAGTTTCAGGGAGAGTCCTGATGAGGCTGTTTCCTCACTGAGACACCTGCTGAAGTCCGGTGTGGAGTTTTAACAGCTGTTGGGTGATAAAGCTTCCTGTCTTCAGAATGAGCCAATCAGATGGCTTCTCGCTGTCCCACCATGAAGTCATCTGTGTCCCCATGGCCTCATGGGACCAAACTCGGTATTGGAAGAGATCACAGACGCTCTCTTTTAATCTCCCCTTCTGTGCAGACTTCTGGGAGTCCAGAGCACTTCTCTGTGGCGTGAACGACGACGTCATTCAGCTAAAAACTGCAGCTCGGTTTTAGCAGCAGATTAAAGATTTCACGCTGTGCTCATTTTCAAAGACAATCACATGAGCTGGAGGAGGGGTAAATGAATATCTGTAGCCGTCATTTACACAGAAAAGCCTGTAAGAGATTACACACGTTGTGCCTTAAAATACATACATTATTAAATAATGCATCATGGAAACAACTAGCTTTAAAGACAATCTAATATCAGTCTACGGCCACACAACAAATTGACACAGCAGCAGCCACAAAGCAAATTTCCTGCTTCACTGACATGAACTAAATAAACCATATACAGCTCATTTGCAGCACATAACATTGTGAAGGAAACGTAACTGC